ACGTTTAGTCTTCTTGCAATTGATGTTAATACTTTCTCGCGTTTCTACTCTACCTTTTGTAGGAGTTCTTTTAGTTTCTTTTGCGAGTCTGCTATCAAAACTGTGTCATCTGCATATCTTATGTTGTTAAGAGTGTGGTCGCCAATAAGGAATCGTCTTAGATCTTCTAATTCTCTCAGAATGGCCTCGATGTATAGGTTGAAAAGATTCGTTTAGAAGACACGCCATGGTCTTAAAACCCTTTTTATTTTTGTGTGTTTACTGAAGTCATTTCCTATGGATTTGAAGGCGGTTTGCTGCCAATATAGATTCTAGATTATTCTAATAACCATTCCACATATGTCAAGGTTGCCTAGCGCTTCCAGCAGATCTTTGTGACGTACTTTATCAAACGCTTTTGCATAATCTATAAAACACAGGGATACGCGATGGATAAATTGTCGTCTAAATTAGGCAAAAATGAAAATAACACTGACATCTCATTTTAACAGATATATTTACCAAAATTACACAAATATATCTTGAAATATTAAAGAGTATATTTACTTAATAAAATCGACATTGGAGCTTTCGACGCGAATGTCAAGTAGTACAGCATGTCATTTCCAAATTTCTGGCAGAGTGAATTGCGTTATGGTGCTATTTTTTTTAAGACGATGCCCAACTGACCCTACTGTACTGTGCACAAAATCAAAAGCAAACAACGCGCATGTGCAAAATTAAAAATGTAAAATGGCGACAGTTTACCCATCGCACCCAGTATGAACATATTTTTTTCCAAAGGTTGGCAGATCACTTTGCTAATTACCGCCTTTAATATTATTTTGTTCATTTCTAGTTGACAAACATTATACTCATTAGCGCCTAAAAGATTATTTAACTATATTTAAACTTAGAAATCAAATCTGTTTATCGTTTATTAGTTGAAATTTAGTAACAACAATTTCTAAGATGTCGGCTTTAAACTGCACGACAACACCCGATGCCACCCAAGAATGCCTGATAGCACGTATAGCTAATAAAGCTGTAATTAGCGAATGCTCTCTCGGGCGCTAATTAACCAAATAAGGCGATACTTTATAAAACGAATTGTTGAGTGGTAATTTATAAAGATATCTATTAGGCGCTAATTATTAAAATTATCGAAATGTTTGGATGTCGAATGCTTTCGGATTCTTTAAACGCGTGGTGCCAGACGACGTTGAACAGTAACGAGATACACCAGACTGGGGATGCTGAATATGCTGTCGCCTAGTAATTAGGAACACTTTTTTCTTCTTCATTTGTTTGTTTTGTCTCGTACATACATAAGAACAGTTTGAGCAAAAAAAAACCCAGACAAATGAGGAAGAAAAACATATCAGGATGTGCGTGGTTATAGTCGTGGAGACGAGAACGAGAAATTCAAATTCTCGCCTAGTGTGTTGCGTTTATTTTGCACAAATGTCCTGTCTTGTCCGCTTCCCAGCCATGGGTTAAATAATAGTGTAAACAGGGTTCTCTTAGTAGGAAGATAACTCTGACTTCAAAGCTGTAAAGAAAGCAATGGGAATCAACTACACTATCCATTCCTAAGAAGCATGGCAATTCAAACATAAGAAAGAAAAAGAAATATTTCGAGAGTTATAACTGCACGTGGAGAGTTATTTTTTTCCATATTCTGACCATGGAGATTTGTAACTAAGGAGTCACGATGGAGTAACGGATAGCTGCTCGGAATCGGAGAACCGAGTTCGAATTCCAGTTAAACGCATCACATTCACTTACGTGCTAATACCCCTGGGAAAGATATGAATCCCCTCCCAGCTATGGGTAAATAGCAGGACAGACCGGATTCTATAGCCTTCGATGGCAACTGGTCTACCGCAGAAAGAAATGGCAACCTACTGCGGGAAAACATCTGCCTCGCTAGTTATATATCGAAAGATACATGATCGCCTAAGCGTGTATCCCACATGGCACATAACTGATTGACTGACGTGCTAATACCCTTGAGAAAGGTATGAATCCCCTTCTTCTCTACCCTCCAGATATAGGTAAATAGCAGGACAGACCGGATTCTATAGCCTTCGATGGCAACTGGTCTACCGCAGAAAGAAATGGCAACGTACTGCGGGAAAAAAAATCTGCCTCGTCAGTCATGTATCGAAAGATACATGATCGCTAAAGCGTGTATCACGTATGGCACATAACTGACTGACTGAGAATTGTAACTGGCTACACTCTATAAAGAAAACATGAAAAATATATTTACCATATTATAAAGTGCATTAACAAATAAGAGGATTAAAAAAAATATATCGCATGTTGAAATTTCTCTGAATATCAGATAAAAAAATTCCTTATTACTACAAACGTTATATTTGTAGACACACATATTTAAGTAGACGTCCTCTGTTTTTTAAACAATAATTAGTCATGGTTACGCTGATAAACTATATCCGGCAGTAAGGCGAATGTAGTTTATTTTAAAGAGCCTCGAACCACTTCTTATTGTTGTTCACACTGAGTCGTAGCATGTGTTAAGATTCCAGCAAAGGGCAATTAGTGAATCCCCCCACTCCCCAAAAGACACTATCAAAATATAAAGAGGCATTATTATAGTAAAAACCTGCAAATATATATATATATATATATATATATATATATATATATATATATATATATATATATGAAAAATATAGTTTTAAGGTGTACTATATTTATGGGATAAAGTGCTCAATATCAGGGATAGAGCGTGTGTAAATATAAATATAAACATTGAAGTCAACACTCAGAGGCGATAGGTGTTTTCATGCTAGACGCAGTCGCCAGGCCGCGAATGTTGGATTTTTCATCGACTGTTTATATATAAATATATATCAATGGTGCATTGTGTGTAATCTATTCTGGCGGTTATTTTTGCGGGAGTGGCTTGTTTATTTATTTTCATCTTGTTTTTCATTTTCATCTTGTATTTATTCTTTTCGGTTTTTGATGTTTTATTAAGGTAGTAAAAAACTTTAGTGAGGGGATTTGCTTGGGTCGCTTATTTAATAGTTTGTTTTGGTTTGGGAAGTTAATTAAAGCTATTTATTCGTCCAGTGTTTAGATTGCTTCCCATTATCAACTCGGTTATTTTGGCGGAAAAATGTTTTTTAATTTATTTATTTGGATTGATTATTTTTACATCTTTATTTATGCTTATTTTTTTATTATATATATATATATATATATATATATATATATATATATATATATATATATATATATATATAAGACCAACAATAAACATTTATATTAATATGACCAACAGTACATTTTGAAAGCAAAATGACCAGCAATACATTTTACAGTAAAATTACCAATAATATATTTTATCTGTAGGTATACAATTGCGTTCAAAATATATTTAATTGAAGACATAAAATTATGTTCAAAATATTTAGATCTCCCCATATGATATGTCGCTAAACAAAATCAATCAACCAAACAATGTAACTGAAGTATACCGGCCTAGACAATCGAGAGTCTTCTTGCAGTACTGATCCTCGTTAGACTAAAAACCGTGGCTAACAACATTTAAGCCTGTAGATGACGAGTGTAATGGAAATGGAATAAATTTCTGCGAGTGGATATTTTATATTTTTTGTTTTTATATAACTGAGGAACAAAGGGAAGAAAATACACTAGTATGAACGTAAAAAAAAAAGTCATTATTAAAATTAAAACACGCTTGCGTGTGTGTACGAAAATAACTCATAATGTTATCCCCATACTCGGGGAAAAAGTCCCTGTTTGGATTGTCACTTCTACCACATGCGAGAAGGAAAAGATAGAAAGAGAGTCGAAACGGAGAAGGCAGCGATTCTCTCGTTTTTATAGTTGCTCAGCAGCGCCACATAGTGACGTTTTCATGAAATTAAAAGAAGTTAACTCACAATCCTCATAAATAAAATAATGCCTTTAACAGAAAATATTTTATTTGATAAAAGTTTTTAGTAAAGTTAAGCTATAACCGTCCACCGTAAAATCCAATGTTAATTATAATATAAAATATGGTATTAATTATAGGTTAGTAAATAACAACGGTAGTAATTATAGGTTTCTACGTATAACCCATTAATTCCAACTACCAATTTTGGGACGGCAGGTATTAATGGGTAATCTGCTAATCATAAAAATATTCTTCTTTATTTTCTATAAATTTAAACCGGAAGTTCCGGATGATCTTTATATACATCTTCAGATAACGACGCTGTTTTATATGTTATACAGTTGGCAATTATATTTTAAACATCGAAGACATTTTTTAATTTTGAACCAGATAAGGAATGTTGCTAATCCGATAGCGTCATATATATCGTCTGTATAATATGACAGGAGTAATTACCCATCTAAAATTCATTTTTTTTTTAATTGACAAAGCATCGGATTGACGAGCGTTACCATGCGATAATATCATTTTTTTCGACTTTCTTGTCCCGTAAATAGCTATTTTTTTTTCTTTTGTTTACACTTTGGTGTTGACTGCTGCAGCGCTCTACAATGGCAATTTCACCAGCTTTCTGCAATTCATAATGCAGTTTTCCTTTTCTTTTTCTTCCCTTCAGCACGTAAGCTACCATGACACTTTCCAATGTCTTCCATTATGTGCGGTGACTCTTCAGGATGTAGACTATCATGGCTTTCCACAAATTTTTAGGGTGACAGCTGTCATGGTTCTCCTACTTCTTCCCTCTCTTGACCCTTCTTATCACTTCTTCCTCCTCTGCCGTGACCCTTCAGGACGTGGACTATCATGGCTTTCCACCCTTCTTCTTCTTCCTCTCTGCCGTGACCCTTCAGGAGGTGGGCTATCATGGCTTTCCCTTCTTCTTCCTCTCCGTGACCCTTCAGGACGTAGGCTATCATGGCTTTCCACTTCTTCTTCCTCTCTGCCGTGACCCTTCAGGAGGTGGGCTATCATGGCTTTCCCTTCTTCTTCCTCTCTGCCGTGACCCTTCAGGACGTGGGCTATCATGGCTTTCACTTCTTCTTCCTCTCTGCATGACCCTGCCGTGACCCTTCACTTCTTCTTCCTCTCTGCCGTGACCCTTGGGCTATCATGGCTTTCCACTTCTTCTTCCTCTCTGCCGTGACCCTTCAGGTGGGCTATCACTTCTTCTTTCCTCTCTGCCGTGACCCTTTCACTTCTTCTTCCTCTCTGCCGTGACCCTTCAGGACGTGGGCTATCATGGCTTTCCACTTCTTCTTCCTCTCTGCCGTGACCCTTCCTTCAGGACTTCTTCTTCCTCTCAGCGACCCTTGGGCTATCATGGCTTTCCTTCTTCTTCCTCTCTGCCGTGACCCCGTGGGCTATCATGGCTTTCCACTTCTTCTTCCTCTCTGCCGTGACCCTTCAGGCTATCATGGCTTTCCCTTCTTCTTCCTCTCTGCCGTGACCCTTCAGGGGTGGGCTATCATGGCTTTCCACTTCTTCTTCTTTCCTTGGGCTATCATGGCTTTCTTCTTCTTCTCTGCCGTGACCCTTCAGGACGTGGTCATGGCTTTCCACTTCTTCTCTCTCTATCATGGCTATCTTTCCACTTCTTCTTCCTCTCTGCCGTGACCCTTCAGGGTGGGCTATCATGGCTTTCCACTTCTTCTTCCTCTCTGCCGTGACCCTTCAGGAGGTAGGGGACTCCACTTCTTCTTCCTCTCTGCCGTGACCCTTTCCGTAGGCTATCATGGCTTTCCACTTCTTCTCTCTGCCGTGACCCTTCAGGGTGGGCTATCATGGCTTTCACTTCTTCTTCTCTCTGCCGTGACCCTTCAGGACGTGGGCTATCATGGCTTTCCACTTCTTCTTCCTCTCTGCCGTGACCCTTCAGGAGGGTGGGCTATCATGGCTTTCCACTTCTTCTTCCTCTCTGCCGTGACCCTTCAGGCTATCATGGCTTTCCACTTCTTCTTACTCTCTGCCGTGAGGTGGGCTATCATGGCTTTCCACTTCTTCTTCCTCTCTGCCGTGACCCTTCAGGATGGGCTATCATGGCTTTCCTTCTTCTTCCTCTCTGCCGTGACCCTTCAGGAGGGTGGGCTATCATGGCTTTCCACTTCTTCTTCCTCTCTGCCGTGACCCCCTTCAGGGGTGGGCTATCATGGCTTTCCACTTCTTCTTCCTCTCTGCCGTGACCCTTCAGGAGGTGGGCTATCATGGCTTTCCACTTCTTCTTCCTCTCTGCCGTGACCCTTCAGGACGTGGGCTATCATGGCTTTCCACTTCTTCTTCCTCTCTGCCGTGACCCTTCCCTTCAGTGACCTTGGGCTATCATGGCTTTCCACTTCTTCTTCCTCTCTGCCCGTGACCCTTCAGGACTTCGTGGGCTATCATGGCTTTCCACTTCTTCTTCCTCTCTGCCGTGACCCTTCAGGACGTGGGCTATCATGGCTTTCCACTTCTTCTTCTCTCTCGTGACCCCGTGGGCTATCCCTTCCACTTCTTCTTCCTCTCTGCCGTGTTGTGGGCTATCATGGCTTTCCACTTCTTCTTCCTCTCTGCCGTGACCCTTCAGGACGTGGGCTATCATGGCTTTCACTTCTTCTTCCTTCCTGACCCTCTGCCGTGACCCTTCTTCCTCTCTGTGACCCTTCAGGACAGGCTATCATGGCTTTCCACTTCTTCTTCCTCTCTGCCGTGACCCCCTTCAGGGTGGGCTATCATGGCTTTCCTTCTTCTTCCTCTCTGCCGTGACCCTTCAGGAGGGCCAGGCTATCATGGCTTTCCACTTCTTCTTCCTCTCTGCCGTGACCCTTCAGGGGGTGGGCTATCATGGCTTTCCACTTCTTCTTCTCTCTGCCCCTTCAGGAGGTGGGCTATCATGGCTTTTCACTTCTTCTTCCTCCCTTCAGGACGTGGGCTATCATGGCTTTCCACTTCTTCTTCCTCTCTGCCGTGACCCTTCAGGACAATATCTTGGCTTTATCTTCTTCCTCTCTGCCACCCTTCTGGGCTTCTTCCTCTCTTCCTCTCTGCCGTGACCCTTCAGGGTTGTGGGCTATCATGGCTTTCCACTTCTTCTTCCTCTGCCGTGACCCTTCAGGACGTGGGCTATCATGGCTTTCCACTTCTTCTTCCTCTCTGACCCCAGGGTGGGCTATCATGGACCCTTCCTCTGCCGTGACCCTTCAAGGTGGGCTATCATAGCTTTCACTTCTTCTTCTCTTCTTCCTATCTGCTCCCGTGACCCTTCAGTGACCCTTCAGGTGGGCTATCATGGCTTTCCACTTCTTCCTCTCTGCCGTGACCCTTCAGGACTGTGGGCTATCATGGCTTTCCACTTCTTCTTCTCTGCCGTGACCCTTCAGGGGTGGGCTATCATGGCTTTCCACTTCTTCTTCCTCTCTGCCGTGACCCTTCAGGGTGGGCTATCATGGCTTTTCCACTTCTTCTTACTCTCTGCCGTGACCCTTCAGGACGTGGGCTATCATGGCTTTCCACTTCTTCTTCCTCTCTGCCGTGACCCTTCAGGACGTGGGCTATCATGGCTTTCCACTTCTTCTTCCTGGCTTTCATGGCTTTTCCTTCTTCCTCTCTGCCGTGACCCTTCAGGTGGGCTATCATGGCTTTCACTTCTTCTTCCTCTCTGCCGTGACCCTTCAGGACGTGGGCTATCATGGCTTTCCACTTCTTCTTCCTCTCTGCCGTGACCCTTCAGGAGGTGGGCTATCATGGCTTTCCACTTCTTCCTCTCTGCCGTGACCCTTCAGGGTGGGCTATCATGGCTTTCACTTCTTCTTCCTCTGCCGTGACCCTTCAGGTCAGGGGCTATCAGCTTTCCCTTCTTCTTCCCTCTCTGCCGTGACCCTTCAGGAGTTGTGGGCTATCATGGCTTTCCACTTCTTCTTACTCTCCGTGCCCCTTCTTCTTCCTTCTTCTTCTCTCTGCCGTGACCCTTCAGGGACGTGGGCTATCATGGCTTTCCACTTCTTCTTCCTCTCTGCCGTGACCCTTCAGGTTGTGGGCTATCATGGCTTTCCACTTCTTCTTCCTCTCTGGATGTGACCTTCAGGACGTGGGCTATCATGGCTTTCCACTTCTTCTTCCTCTCTGCCGTGACCCTTCAGGAGGTGGGCTATCATGGCTTTCCACTTCTTCTTCTCTCTGCCGTGACCCTTCAGGACGTGGGCTATCATGGCTTTCCACTTCTTCTTCCTCTGCCGTGACCCTTCAGGACTGGTGGGCTATCATGGCTTTCTTCTTCTTCCTCTCTGCCGTGACCCTTCAGGGTGGGCTATCATGGCTTTCCACTTCTTCTTCTTCCTCTCTGCCGTGACCCTTCAGGAGGTGGGGCTATCATGGCTTTCCACTTCTTCTTCCTCTCTGCCGTGACCCCTTCAGGAGGTAGGCTATCATGGCTTTCCTTCTTCTTCCTCTCTGCCGTGACCCTTCAGGACGTGGGGTTTACTTCTTCTTCCTCTCTGCCGTGACCCTTCCGTGGGCTATCATGGTTTTTCTTCCTCTCTGCCGTGACCCTTCAGGACGTGGGCTATCATGGCTTTCCACTTCTTCTTCCTCTCTGCCGTGACCCTTCAGGAGGTGGGCTATCATGGCTTTCCACTTCTTCTTACTCTCTGCCGTGACCCTTCAGGAGGTGGGCTATCATGGCTTTCCACTTCTTCTTCCTCTCTGCCGTGACCCTTCAGGACGTGGGCTATCCGTGGGCTATCATGGCTTTCCACTTCTTCTTCCTCTCTGCCGTGACCCTTCAGGACATTGGGCTATCATGGCTTTCCACTTCTTCTTCCTCTCTGCCGTGACCCTTCAGGACGTGGGCTATCATGGCTTTCCACTTCTTCTTCCTCTCTGCCGTGACCCTTCAGGACGTGGGCTATCATGGCTTTCCACTTCTTCTTCCTCTCTGCCGTGACCCTTCAGGAGGTGGGCTATCATGGCTTTCACTTCTTCTTCTTCCTCTCTGGGCCGTGACCCTTCAGGACGTAGGCTATCATGGCTTTCCCTTCTTCTTCCTCTCTGCCGTGACCCTTCAAGACGTGGGCTATCATGGTTCACTTCTTCTTCCCTCTGACCCTTCAGGGACGTGGGCTATCATGGCTTTCACTTCTTCTTCCTCTCTGCCGTGACCCTTTTGGGCTATCATGGCTTTCTTCTTCCTCTCTGCCGTGACCCTTCAGGTTATTAGGCTATCATAGCTTTCACTTCTTCTTCCTCTCTGCCGTGACCCCTTCAGGACGTGGGCTATCATGGTTTTCTTCTTACTCTCTGCCGTGACCTCCCTACGTCTTCCTATGGGCTATCATGGCTTTCGCTGACACTTCTTCTTCCTCTCTGCCGTGACCCTTCAGGACTGTGGGCTATCATGGCTTTCCACTTCTTCTTCCTCTCTGCCGTGACCCTTCAGGACGTGGGCTATCATGGCTTTCCACTTGCCGTGACCCTTTAGGTTATTGGGCTCTCTGCTTTGACTTCTTCTTCCTCCTGCGTGACCCTTCAGGTGGGCTATCATGGCTTTCCACTTCTTCTTCCTCTCTGCCGTGACCCTTCAGGTGGGCTATGGGCTTTATCATGGCTTTTTCACTTCTTCTTCCTCTCTCTGCCGTGACCCTTCAGGACGTAGGCTATCATGGCTTTCCACTTCTTCTTCCTCTGCCGTGACCCTTCTGGCTATCATGGCTTTCCACTTCTTCTTCCTCTCTGCCGTGACCCTTCAGTTGGGCTATCATGGCTTTCCACTTCTTCTTCCTCTCTGCCGTGACCCTTCAGGGGACGTGGGCTATCATGGCTTTCCACTTCTTCTTCCTCTCTGCCGTGACCCTTCGAGGGCTATCATGGCTTTCACTTCTTCTTCCTCTCTGCCGTGACCCTTCAGGCTATCATAGCTTTCCACTTCTTCTTCCTCTCTGCCGTGACCTTCATGGCTATCCTTGGCTTTCCCTTCTTCTTCCTCTCTGCCGTGACCCTTCAGGACGTGGGCTATCATGGCTTTCCACTTCTTCTTCTCCCGTGACCCTTCTGCCGTGACCCTTCAGGACAGTGGGCTATCATGGCTTTCCACTTCTTCTTCCTCTCTGCCGTGACCCTTCAGGGTGGGCTATCATGGCTTTCACTTCTTCTTCCTCTCTGCCGTGACCCTTCTGGGCTATCATGGCTTTCCACTTCTTCTTCCTCTCTGCCGTGACCCTTCAGTGGGTGCTTTCTACTTCATGGCTTTCACGTGTGGGCTTCTTCCTCTCTGCCCGTGACCCTTCAGGACGTGGGCTATCATGGCTTTCCTTCTTCTTCCTCTCTGCCGTGACCCTTCTCTGGGCTATCATGGCTTTCCACTTCTTCTTCCTCTCTGTGACCCTTCAGGTTATTAGGCTATCATGGCTTTCCACTTCTTCTTCCTCTCTGCCGTGACCCTTTGGGTTTGGGCTATCATGGCTTTCCACTTCTTCTTCCTCTCTGCCGTGACCCTTCAGGTTGTGGGCTATCATGGCTTTCCACTTCTTCTTCCTCTCTGCCGTGACCCTTCAAGGCTTTTCTTCTTCACTCTCTCTTCCTCTGCCGTGACCCTTGGGCTATCATGGCTTTCCACTTCTTCTTCCTCTCTGCCGTGACCCTTCAGTTTATTGGGTTGGGCTTTCACTTCTTCTTCCTCTCTGCCGGCCCTTTTGGGCCACTTCTTCTTCCTCTCTGCCGTGACCCTTCAGGTTGTTGGGCTATCATGGCTTTCCACTTCTTCTTCCTCTCTGCCGTAGGTTATCACCCTTGCCATGGCTTCCTTCTTCTTCTCTGTAACCCCCTTCTGGAGGTGGGCTATCATGGCTTTCCACTTCTTCTTCCTCTCTGCCGTGACCCTTCAGGGTAGGCTATCATGGATTTCCCTTCTTCTTTCCTGCCTGGTGACCCTTCAGCCAGGCTATCATGGCTTTCCACTTCTTCTTCCTCTCTGCCGTGACCCTTCAGGGGTAGGCTATCATGGCTTTCCTTCTTCTTCTTCCCTCTCTGCCGTGACCCTTCAGGACTGTGGGCTATCATGGCTTTCCACTTCTTCTTCCTCTCTGCCGTGACCCTTCTGGACGTGGGCTATCATGGCTTTCCACTTCTTCTTCCTCTCTGCCGTGACCCTTTGGGACGTAGGCCTATCATGGCTTTCCACTTCTTCTTCCTCTGCCGTGACCCTTCAGGGTAGGCTATCATGGCTTTCCACTTCTTCTTCCTCTCTGCCGTGACCCTTCAGGGTGTGGGCTATCATGGCTTTCCACTTCTTCTTCCTCTCTGCCGTGACCCTTCAGGTTGGGCTATCATGGCTTTCCACTTCTTCTTCCTCTCTGCCATGACCCTTCACTCTGGCCTATCACATTGGCTTTCCACTTCTTCTTTCCCTCTCTGCCGTGACCCTTCAGGACAGGCTATCATGGCTTTCCTTCTTCTTCTTCCTCTCTGCCGTGACCCTTCAGGTGGGCTATCATGGCTTTCCACTTCTTCTTCCTCTCTGCCGTGACCCTTCAGGGTGAGCTATCATGGATTTCCTTCTTCTTCCTCTCTGCCGTGACCCTTCAGGTTTGACAGGCTATCATGGCTTTCCACTTCTTCTTCCTCTCTGCCGTGACCCTTCAGGACAGTTATTGGGCTATCATGGCTTTCCACTTCTTCCTGCCGTGACCCTTCAGGACGTGGGCTGTAAGCTTTCCACTTCTTCTTCTCTCTGCGTGACCCTTCAGGGTGTGGTGTTGGGCTATCTTGGCTTTCCCTTCTTCTTCCTCTCTGCCGTGACCCTTCAGGCGTAGGCTATCATGGCTTTCCTTCTTCTTCTTCCTCTCTGCCGTAAGCTTTCCACTTCCTTCAGGACCCTTCAGGACGTGGGCTATCATGGCTTTCCACTTCTTCTTCCTCTCTGCGTGACCCTTCAGGTGGGCTATCATGGCTTTCCTTCTTCTTCCTTGCCTGACTCTTCCTCTGTCCTTCCACTTCTTACTCTGGGCCTATCATGGCTTTCACTTCTTCTTCCTCTCTGCCGTGACCCTTCAGGTGGGCTATCATAGCTTTCCACTTCTTCTTCTCTCTGCCGTGACCCTTCAGGTTGTGGGCTATCATGGCTTTCCACTTCTTCTTCCTCTCTGCCATGACCCCCTTCAGGACGTGGGCTATCCGGCTTCCCTTCTTCTTCCTCTCTGCCGTGACCCTTCAGGACATGGGCTATCATGGCTTTCCACTTCTTCTTCCTCTCTGCCGTGACCCTTCCAGGAGTGGGCTATCATGGCTTTCCACTTCTTCTTCCTCTCTCTGACCCTTGGGCTATCATGGTTTCACCCTTCTTCTTCCTCTCTGCCGTGACCCCTTCAGGACGTGGGCTTAGGCTTTATCTCTGGCTTTTTCCACTTCTTCTTCCTCTCTGCCGTGACCCTTCAGTACGTAGGCTATCATGGCTTTCCACTTCTTCTTCCTCTCTGCCGTGACCCTTCAGGTTCATTGGGCTATCATGGCTTTCCTTCTTCTTCCCTCTCTGCCGTGACCCCCTTCAAGTGGAAGATATCATGGCTCCCACTTCTTCTTCCTCTCTGCCGTGACCCTTCCAGGACATTGGGCTATCCATGGCTTTCACTTCTTCTCTTCCTCTCTGCCGTGACCCATGGATGGGCTATCATGGATTTCCACTTCTTCTTCCTCTCTGCCATTGACACTTCCAGGACCCTTCACAGGAGGGTGGGCTATCATGGCTTTCCACTTCTTCTTCCTCTCTGTCTGGGTGGGCTATCACTGACCCTTGGGGAGGAGGCTTTCCACTTCTTCTTCCTCTCTGCAGCCCTTCAGAACGTGGGCTATCATGGCTTTCACTTCTTCTTCCTCTGCTGTGACCCTTCAGGACGTGGGCTATCATGGCTTTCCTTTCTTCTTCCTCTCTGCCGTGACCCTTCAGGACGTGGGCTATCATGGCTTTCCCTTCTTCCTCTGCAGTGACCCTTCTGCTGTCCATCCACTTCCTCTCTGCCGTGACCCTTCAGGGTGGGCTATCATGGCTTTCACTTCTTCTTCCTCTCTGCCGTGACCCTTCAGGAGGTGGGCTATCATGGCTTTCCACTTCTTCTTCCTCTCTGTGACCCTCAGGACCGTGGGCTATCCTTGGCTTTCCACTTCTTCTTCCTCTCTGCCGTGGGCGTGGGCTATCATGGCTTTCCACTTCTTCTTCCTCTCTGCCGTGACCCTTCAGGGGGCTGGGCTTTCACTTCTTCTTCCTCTCTGCCGTGACCCTTCAGGGCAGGTGGGCCATGGCTTTCACTTCTTCTTCCTCTCTGCCGTGACCCTTCAGAAGGTGGGCTATCATGGCTTTCCGCTTCTTCTTCTCTCTGCCGTGACCCTTCAGGACAGGCTATCATGGCTCCCTTCTTGCTTCCCCTCCCCCTTCTAGGGGCTATCATGGCTTTCCACTTCTTCTTCCTCTCTGCCGTGACCCTTCAGGCGGGTGGGCTATCATGGCTTTCCCTTCTTTCCTCTCTGCCGTGACCCTTCAGGTTGTTGGGCTATCCATAGCTTTCCACTTCTTCTTCGTGACCCTCTGCCCTCAAACTCATGACTCTTCCGTGACCCTTTCTATCTTCCCTCCTCTGCGTGACCCTTCAGGATGTGGGCTATCATGGCTTTCCACTTCTTCTTCCCTCTGCCGTGACCCTTCAGGTATTGGGCTATCATGGCTTTCCACTTCTTCTTCCTCTCTGCCGTGACCCTTCAGGACATTGGGCTATCATGGCTTTCCCACTTCTTCTTCCCTCTGCCGTGACCCTTCCAGGGTGGGCTATCATGGCTTTCCACTTCTTCTTCTCGTGACCCTTCAGGCTATCATGGCTTTCCACTTCTTCTTCCTCTCTGCCGTGAGGCCCCCTTCAGGTTGGGCTATCAGTTCCGCCTTCTTCCTCTCTGCGTGACCCTTCAGGACGTGTGGGCTATCATGGCTTTCCCTTCTTCTTCCTCTCTGCCGTGACCCCCTTCAGGTTATTGGCTATCATGGCTTTCCTTCTTCTTCCTCTCTGCCGTGACCCTTCAGGACGGTGGGCTATCATGGCTTTCCACTTCTTCTTTCCTTTCCTTCTTCTTCCTCTCTGCCGTGACCCTTCAGGACGTGGGCTATCATGGCTTTCACTTCTTCTTCCTCTCTGCCGTGACCCTTCAGGTTCGTGGGCTATCATGGCTTTCCCACTTCTTCTTCCTCTCTCTGCCTACCCTTGGCTTTCACTTCTTCTTCCTCTCTGCCGTGACCCTTCAGGATGTGGGCCTTCTTCTTGGCTTTCACTTCTTCTTCCCCTTCTCTGCCGTGACCCTTCCTCTATCATGGCTTTCACTTCTTCTTCCTCTCTCCGTGACCCTTCAGGACGGGCTATCATGGCTTTCACTTCTTCTTCCTCTCTGCCGTGACCCTTCAGGGTGGGCTATCATGGCTTTCCACTTCTTCTTCCTCTCTGCCGTGACCCCTTCAGGAGGTGGGCTATCATGGCTTTCCACTTCTTCTTCCTCTCTTGTGACCCTTCAGGTTATTGGGCTATCATGGCTTTTCTTCTTCCTCTGCCGTGACCCCTATCAGCTTTCCACTTCTTCTTCCTCTCTGCCGTGATGTGGGCTATCGCGGCTTTCCTTCTTCTTCCTCTCTGCCGTGACCCTTCAGGTTTATTGGGCTATCATGGCTTTCCACTTCTTCTTCCTCTCTGCCGTGACCCTTCAGGACTGGGGCTTTCACTTCTTCTTCTCTCTGCCGTGACCCTTCAGGTAGGCTATCCATGGCTTTCCTTACTTCCTCTCTTGTGACCCTTCAGGTGGCTATCATGGCTTTCCACTTCTTCTTCCTCTCTGCCGTGACCTTCATAGGATCGGGGCTCACTTCTTCTTCCTCTCTCATGACCCTTCAGGTTCATTGGGCTATCATGGCTTTCACTTCTTCTTCCTCTCTGCCGTGACCCTTCAGGCGTGGGCTATCATGGCTTTCCACTTCTTCTTCCTCTGCCGTGACCCTTCAGGACGTGGGCTATCATGGCTTTCCACTTCTTCCTCTCTGCCGTGACCACGCTCTGGCTGTCATGGACCTTCTTCCTCTCTGCCGTGACCCTTCAGGACGTGGGCTATCATGGCTTTCCCTTCTTCTTCCTCTCTGCTGTGACCCTTTTCAGGACGTGGGCTATCATGGCTTTCACTTCTTCTTCTCTCTGCCGTGACCCTTCAGGGTGGGCTATCATGGCTTTCCACTTCTTCTTCCTCTCTCTGCGTGACCCTTCAGGAGGTGGGCTATCATGGCTTTCCACTTCTTCTTCCTCTCTGCCGTGACCCTTCAGGACATTGGGCTATCATGGATTTCCACTTCTTCTTCCTCTCTGCCGTGACCCTTCAGGTTTATTGGGATCATGGCTTTGGGCTATCATGGCTTTCCCACTTCTTCTTCCTCTCTGCCGTGACCCTTCAGGTTATTGGGCTATCATGGCTTCCCACTTCTTCTTCCTCTCTGCCGTGACCCTTCAGGACAATGGGCTATCATGGCTTTCCACTTCTTCTTCCTCTCTGCCGTGACCCTTCCAGGACGTGGGCTATCATGGCTTTCCTTTAACTTCTTACTCTGCCGTGACCCTTATCATTGGGCTATCTTTTCCACTTCTTCTTCCTCTGACCCCATTGGGCTATCATGGCTTTCCCTTCTTCTTCCTCTCAGGACCCTTCAGTTATTGGGCTATCTTGGCTTTCACTTCTTCTTCCTCTGCCGTGACCCTTCAGGACGGGCTATCCTTGGACCTCTCTGCCGTGACCCTTCGGTGGTGGGCTATCACTTGGCTTTCACTTCTTCTTCCTCTCTGCCGTGACCCTTCAGGTGGGCTATCATGGCTTTCCCTTCTTCTTCCTCTCTGCAGGGTGGGCTATCAGGCTTTCACGTGGGCTATCTCTGGCTTTCACTTCTTCTTTTCTTCCTCTCTGCCATGACCCCTTCAGGACAGTGGGCTATCATGGCTTTCCCTTCTTCTTCCTCTCTGACCCGTGTGGGCTTCAGGACTTCTTCTTCTCTCATGGACCCTTCGGTGGGCAGTGGGCTTCTTCCTTCTTCCTCTCTGCCGTGACCCTTCAGGTGGGCTATCATGGCTTTCCACTTCTTCTTCCTCTCTGCCGTGACCCTTCAGGGTAGGCTATCATGGCTTTCCACTTCTTCTTCCTCTCTGCCGTGACCCTTCAGGTTATTGGGCTATCATGGCTTTCACTTCTTCTTCCTCTCTGCCGTGACCCTTCCAGGGTGGTGGGCTATCATGGCTTTCACTTCTTCTTCCTCTCTGTGGTGACCCTTCTATCATGGCTTTCACTTCTTCTTCCTCTCTGCCGTGACCCTTCAGGACATGTGGGCTATCATGGCTTTCCACTTCTTCTTCCTGACCCTCTGCCATGACCCTTCGTGAGGTTTAGGACGTGGGCTATCATGGCTTTCCACTTCTTCCTCTCTGCCATGACCCTTCAGGACGTGGCCTCATGGCTTTCACTTCTTCTTCCTCTCTTCCGTGACCCTTCAGGGTGGGCTATCATGGCTTTCACTTCTTCTTCTCTCTGCCGTGACCCTTCAGGAAGGTGGGCTATCATGGCTTTCTTCTTCTTCTTCCTCTCTCGTGACCCTTCAGGGGCTATCATGGCTTTCCACTTCTTCTTCCTCTCTGCCGTGACCCTTCAGGTGGTGGGCTATCATGGCTTTCCCTTCTTCTTTCTCTTCAGGACAGGTGGGCTTCTTGGCTTTCCTTCTTCTTGCTCTCTGTGACCCTTCAGGTTACAGGCTATCATGGCTTTCCACTTCTTCTTACTCTGCCACGTGACCCTTTCAGGTGGGCTATCATGGCTTTCACTTCTTCCTCTCTGCATGACCCTTCCGTGGGCTATCCTTGGCTTTCCTTCTTCTTCCTCTCTGCCGTGATCAGGGTGGCTTTCCACTTCTTCTTCCTCTCTGCCGTGACCCTTCAGGAGGTGGGCTATCATGGCTTTCCTTCTTCTTCCTCTCTGCCGTGACCCTTCTGCCGCTCACTCTTCCTCTCTGCCCCTTCAGGCTATCATGGTGTGACCCTTCATCATGGCTATCATCTTTCCACTTCTTCTTCCTCTCTGCCGTGACCCTTCAGGGTTGGGCTATCATGGCTTTCCACTTCTTCTTCCTCTCTGCCGTGACCCTTCAGGAGGGTGGGCTATGGGCTTTATCATGGCTTTCAGGGTAGGCTATCATGGCTTTCACTTCTTCCTCTCTGCCGTGACCCTTCAGGACGTGGGCTATCATGGCTTTCACTTCTTCTTCCTCTCTTCCAGTAGGCTATCATGGCTTTCCACTTCTTCTTCCTCGTGACCCTTCAGGGATTTGGGCTATCATGGCTTTCTTCTTCTCTCTGCCGTGACCCTTCAGGACGTGGGCTATCATGGCTTTCACTTCTTCTTCCTCTCTGCCGTGACCCTTCAGGACTTCTTCTTCCTCTCTTGTGGGCTATCATGGCTTTCCACTTCTTCTTCCTCTCTGCCGTGACCCTTCAGGACGTGGGCTATCATGGCTCCTTCTTCTTCCTCTGCCGTGACCCTTCAGGGTGGGTGGGGCTATCATGGCTTTCACTTCTTCTTCCTCTCTGCCGTGACCCTTCAGGAGGGCTTTCCACTTCTTCTTCCTCTCTGACCCTTCAGGACTTCGGTTGGGCTATCATGGCTTTCCACTTCTTCTTCCTCTCTGCCGTGACCCTTCAGGACCGTGGGCTATCATGGCTTTCCACTTCTTCTTCTCTCTGCCGTGACCCTTCAGGACGTTGGGCTATCGCAGCTTTCCCTTCTTCTTCCTCTCTGCCGTGACCCTTCAGGTGGGCTATCATGGCTTTCCACTTCTTCTTCCTCTCTGCCGTGACCCCTTCAGGACGTGGGGCCTATCATGGCTTTCACTTCTTCTTCCTCTCTGCCGTGACCCTTCAGGTGGGCTATCATGGCTTTCCACTTCTTCTTCCTCTGCCGTGACCCTTAGGGTAGGCTATCATGGCTTTCCACTTCTTCTTCCTCTCTGCCGTGACCCTTCAGGAGGTGGGCTATCATGGCTTTCCGCTTCTTCTTCCCCTCTCTGCCCATGACCCTTCAGGGGTGGGCTATCATGGCTTTCACTTCTTCTTACTCTGCCGTGACCCTTCAGGTGCCAGGCTATCATGCCTTTTCACTTCTTCTTCCTCTCTGCCGTGACCCTTCAGGATGTGGGCTATCATGGCTTTCCACTTCTTCCTCTCTGCCATGACCCTTCAGGGCTATCATGGCTTTCCACTTCTTCCTCTTCCTCTCTAGGCTATCGTGACCCTTCTGCCGTGACCCTTCAGGAGTGGGCTATCATGGCTTTCAGGTGGGCTATCTTCTTCTTACTCTCTGCCGTGACCCTTCAGGTGGGCTATGTGGCTTTCCACTTCTTCCTCTCTGCCGTGACCCTTCAGGTGGGCTATCAGCTGCGGCTTTCCCTTCTTCTTCTTCTTCCTCTCTGACCCTTCAGAGGTGGGCTATCATGGCTTTACTTCTTCTTCCTCTCTGCCATGACCCTTCAGGGTGTGGGCTATCATGGCTTTCCACTTCTTCTTCCTCTCTCTGACCCTTCAGAGGTGGGCTATCATGGCTTCCCTTCTTCTTCCTCTCACCCTTCGTAGGCTTCTTCCTCTTCTTCTCTCTGCCAATGACCCTTCAGGGTGAGCTATCATGGCTTTCCCTTCTTCTTCCTCTCTGCCGTGACCCTTCAGGACGTGGGCTATCATGGCTTTCCACTTCTTCTTCCTCTCTGCCCGTGACCCTTCAGGACGTGGGCTATCATGGCTTTCCACTTCTTCTTCCTCTCTGCCGTGACCCTTCAGGTGGGGCTATCATGGCTTTCACTTCTTCTTCCTCTCTGCCGTGAACCTTTAGGACGTGGGCTATCACTTGGCTTTCACTTCTTCTTCACTCTGTGACCCTTTGGCCAGGCTATCATGCTCACTTCTTCCCCTCTGCCCGTGACCCTTCAGGACGGTAGGCTTCCATGGCTTTCACTTCTTCTTCCTCTGCCATGACCCTTCAGGACAGTGGGCTATCATGGCTTTCCACTTCTTCTTCCTCTCTGCCGTGACCCTTCAGGACATTGGGCTATCATGGCTTTCCACTTCCTCTCTGCCGTTCCTCTAGGCCCGCTGACTTCCTCTCTGCAGGACCCTTCCGTGGGCTATCATGGCTTTCCCTTCTTCTTCCTCTCTGCTGTGACCCTTCAGGACGTGGAGCTATCAGCTTTCCACTTCTTCTTACTCTCTCTCTAGGCCGTGTTTCCACTTCTTCTTCCTCTGCCATGACCCATGGGAGAATTGGGCTATCATGGCTTTCCACTTCTTCTTCCTCTCTGCCGTGACCCTTCAGGTGAGGGGAGCTATCATGGCTTTCCTTCTTCCTCTCTGTGACCCTTCAGGACATGGGCTATCATGCTTTCCCTTCTTCTCCCACTCTCTGCCGTGACCCTTCAGGACATGGGCTATCATGGTTTCCACTTCTTCTTCCTCTCTGCCGTGACCTTCAGGACAGCTGGGCTATCTTGGCTTTTTTTTTTTTTCCACTTCTTCTTCCTCTCTGCCGTGACCCTTCAGGACCGTGGGCTATCATGGCTTTCACTTCTTCTTCCTCTGACCCCGTGACCCTTCCAAGACGTGGGACCCTATCATGGTTCCACTTCTACTTCCTCTCTGCCGTGACCCTTCAGGACGTAGGCTATCATGGCTTTCCACTTCTTCTTCCTCTCTGCCGTGACCCTTCAGGACGTGGGCTATCATGGCTTTCCCACTTCTTCTTCCTCTCTGCCGTGACCCTTCAGTGGGTGGGCTATCATGGCTTTCCACTTCTTCTTCCTCTCTGCCGTGACCCTTCCAGGAGGTGGGCTATCATGGCTTTCCACTTCTTCTTCCTCTGCCGTGACCCTTCAGGGGTGAGCTATCATGGCTTTCCACTTCTTCCTCTCTGCCGTGACCCTTCAAGTCTTCCACTTCTTCTTCCTGGTGTGGGGCTATCATGGCTTTCACTTCTTCTTCCTCTGCCGTGACCCTTCAGGACGTGGGCTATCGGCTTTCACTTCTTCTTCCTCTCTGCCGTGACCCTTCAGAGTGGGGCTATCATGCTTTCCACTTCTTCTTCCTCTCTGCCGTGACCCTTCAGGAGGTACAGGCTATCATGGCTTTCCACTTCTTCTTCCTCTCTGCCGTGACCCCTATCTGGCTTTCTTCTTCTTCCTCTCTGCCGTGACCCTTCAGGCTATCATGGCTTTCACTTCTTCTTCCTCTCTGCCGTGACCCTTTTCAGGGTGCCAGGCTATCATGGCTTTCACTTCTTCTTCCTCTCTGCCGTGACCCTTCAGGACATTGGGCTATCATGGCTTTCCTTCTTCTTCCTCCTCTGCCGTGACCCTTCAGGACGGCCAGGCTATCATGGCTTTCCACTTCTTCTTCCTCTCTGCCGTGACCCTTCAGGACGGCCAGGCTATCATGGCTTTCGCCTTCTTCCTCTCTGCCGTGACCCTTCGTGGGCTATCATGGCTTTCCCTTCTTCTTCCTCTCTGCCGTGACCCTTCAGGACGTGGGCTATCATGGCTTTCCACTTCTTCTTCCCTCTCTGCCGTGACCCTTCAGGCTACACTCTTCTTCCCCTCTAGGCTATCAGGTCCACTTCTTCTTCCTCTCTGCCGTGACCCTTCAGGATTGGATTATCATGGCTTTCCACTTCTTCTTCCTCTCTGCCGTGACCCTTCAGGCTTTATCACTTGTGGGCTATCTGGCTTTCCACTTCTTCTTCCTCTCTGCCGTGACCCTTCCCAGCCAGGCTATCATGGCTTTCACTTCTTCTTCCTCTCTGCCGTGACCCTTCAGGGTGGGCTATCATGGCTTTCACTTCTTCTTCCTCTCTGCCGTGACCCTTCAGGACGTGGGCTATCATGGCTTTCCACTTCTTCTTCCTCTCTGCCGTGACCCTTCAGGGTGGGTGGGCTATCTCTGCCGTGACCCTTTGGGCTATCCTTCTTTCTTCCTCTCTGCCGTGACCCTTCAGGAGTATTGGGCTATCATGGCTTTCCACTTCTTCTTCCTCTCTGTGGGCTGACCCTTCCAGGGTGGGCTATCATGGCTTTCACTTCTTCTTCCTCTCTGCCGTGACCCTTCAGGGGTGGGCTATCATGGCTCCCTTCTTCTTCCTCTCTGTTGACCCTTCATGGGCTATCATTCTTTCACTTCTTCTTCCTCTCGTGACCCTTCGTGACCCTTCAGGACCCTTCAGGTGGGCTATCATGGCTTTCCCACTTCTTCTTCCTCTGCCGTGACCCTTGGGGGTAGGCTATCATGGCTTTCACTTCTTCTTCCTCTCTGCCGTGACCCTTCGGACTTCTTCTTCCTCTCTGCAGGACGTAGGCTATCATGGCTTTCACTTCTTCTTCCTCTCTGCCGTGACCCTTCAGGATGGCTCACTTCTTCTTCCTCTCTGCCGTGACCCTTCAAGTGGGTGGGCTATCATGGCTTTCCACTTCTTCTTCCTCTCTGCCGTGACCCTTCAGGACGTGGGCTATCATGGCTTTCCCTTCTTCTTCCTCTCTGCCGTGACCCTTCTGGACGTGGGCTATCTTGGCTTTCCACTTCTTCTTCTCTCTGCCGTGACCCTTCAGGAGGGTAGGCTATCATGGCTTTCCACTTCTTCTTCCTCTCTGCCGTGACCCTTCTTGGGCTATCATAGCTTTCCTTCTTCTTCCTCTGCCGTGACCCTTCATGGGCTATCATGGCTTTCCACTTCTTCTTCCCCTCTGCCGTGACCCTTGGGGGTGGTGGCTATCATGGCTTTTTCTTCTTCTTCCTCTCTGCCGTGACCCTTCAGGACGTGGGCTATCATGGCTTTCCCTTCTTCTTCCTCTCTGCCGTGACCCTTCTGGACGTGGGCTATCATGGCTTTCCATTGGGCTTCTTCTTCTTCTCTCTGCCGTGACCCTTCAGGGTGGGCTATCATGGCTTTCCACTTCTTCCCTCTCTGCCGTGACCCTTCAGGACCAGGCTATCATGGCTTTTCCACTTCTTCTTCCTCTCTGCCGTGACCCTTCATGGGCTTTAGCTTTCACTTCTTCTTCCCCTCTCTGCCGTGACCCTTCAGGGTGGGCTATCATGGCTTTCACTTCTTCTTCCTCTGCCCGTGACCCTTCAGGACATTGGGCTATCATGGCTTTCCCTTCTTCTTCCTCTCTGCCGTGACCCTTCAGGACGTGGGCTATCATGGCTTTCACTTCTTCTTCTTCCTCTGCCGTGACCCTTCAGGACGTGGGCTATCATGGCTTTCCACTTCTCTTCTCTGCCTGACCCTTCAGGACGTGGGCTATCGCTTTCCACTTCTTCCTCTCTGCCGTGACCCTTCGCTGGTTATCATGGCTTTTCCACTTCTTCTTCCTCTCTGCCGTGACCCTTCATGGGCTATCATGGCTTTCCACTTCTTCTTCCTCTCTGCCGTGACCCTTCAGTACGTGGGCTATCATGGCTTTCCACTTCTTCTTCCTCTCTGCCGTGACCCTTCAGGACGTGGGCTATCATAGCTTCCACTTCTTCCTCTCTGCCGTGACCCTTCAGGACGTGGGCTATCATGGCTTCCACTTCTTCTTCCTCTCTGCCGTGACCCTTTCAGGCCGTGGCTTTCACTTCCCTCTCTGCCGGACCCTTCTGGACGTGGGCTATCATAGCTTTCCACTTCTTCTTCCTCTCTGCCGTGACCCTTCAGGACAATGGGCTATCATGGCTTTCCACTTCTTCTTCCTCTCTGCCGTGACCCTTCAGGAGGTGGGCTATCATGGCTTTCCACTTCTTCCTCTCTGCCTGACCCCTTCGGGCTATCATGGTTTCACTTCTTCCCTCTGCCGGACCCTTCAGGACGTGGGCTATCATGGCTTTCCACTTCTTCTTCCTCTCTGCCGTGACCCTTCAGGACAGGCTATCATGGCTTTCCCTTCTTCTTCCTCTCTGCCGTGACCCTTCAGGACGTGGAGGCTATCATGGCTTTCCCTTCTTCTTCCTCTCTGCCGTGACCCTTCCAGGACGTGGGCTATCATGGCTTTCACTTCTTCTTCCCTCTGCCGTGACCCTTGGGCTATCATGGCTTTCCTTCTTCTTCCTCTCTGCCGTGACCCTTCAGGAGGTAGGCTATCATAACTCCATCTGTCACTTGGCTTTCCACTTCTTCTTACTCTCTGCCGTGACCCTTCAGACGTGGGCTATCATGGCTTTCCACTTCTTCTTCCTCTCTGCCGTGACCCTTCAGGAGGTGTGGGCTATCATGGCTTTCCACTTCTTCTTCCTCTGCCGTGACCCTTCAGGACGTGGGCTATCATGGCTTTCCACTTCTTCTTCCCCTCTCTGCCCGTGACCCTTCAGGACGTGTGGGCTATCATGGATTTCCACTCTTCTTCCTCTCTGCCGTGACCCTTCAGGACGTGGGCTATCATGGCTTTCCACTTCTTCTTCCTCTCTGCCGTGACCCTTCAGGACGTGGGCTATCATGGCTTTCCACTTCTTCTTCCCTCTGCCGTGACCCTTCAGGGAGGGCTAAGGCTTTACTTCTTCTTCCTCTCTGCTGACCCTTCAGGACGTTGGGCTATCATGGCTTCCTTCTTCCTCCTCTGCCGTGACCCTTCAGGACTATTGAGGCTATCATGGCTTTCCACTTCTTCTTCCTCTCTGCCGTGACCCTTCAGGACGTGGGCTATCATGGCTTTCCACTTCTTCTTCCTCTGCCGTGACCCTTCAGGACGTGGGCTATCATGGCTTTCCACTTCTTCTTCCTCTCTGCCGTGACCCTTCAGGACGGGCTATCATGGCTCCACTTCTTCTTCCTCTCTGCCGTGACCCTTCAGGACGTGGGCTATCATGGCTTTCCTTCTTCTCTCTGCCGTGACCGCTTCAGGCCGTGACCCATCAGGACGTGGGCTATCTTAGCTCCACTTCTCTTACTCTCTGCCGTGACCCTTCAGGACGTGGGCTATCATGGCTTTCACTTCTTCTTCCTCTCTGCCGTGACCCTTCCAGGACGTGGGCTATCATGGCTTTCCCTTCTTCTTCTCTCTGCCGTGACCCTTCAGGAGGTTGGGCTATCATGGCTTTCCTTCTTCTTTCCTCTCTGACCCTTCCATTAGGCTATCATGATTTCCTTCTTCTTCCTCTCTGCCGTGACCCTTCAGGATCGTGGGCTATCATGGCTTTCTTCTTCTTCTCTCTGCCGTGACCCCCGTGGGCTATCAGCTTTCCAATTCTTCTTCCTCTCTGCCGTGACCCCTTCAGGGTGGGCTATCATGGCTTTCACTTCTTCTTCCTCTCTGCCGTGACCCTTCAGGAGGCCTCATGGCTTTCCCTTCTTCTTCCTCTGTGGGACCCTTATCACCTGGCTTTCCACTACTTCTTTCTTGACCCTTCTCTGGGCTATCATGGCTTTCACTTCTTCTTCCTCTCTGCAGTGACCCTTCAGGAGGTGGGCTATCATGGCTTTCCACTTCTTCTTCCTCTCTGCCGTGACCCTTCAGGTTGTGGGCTATCATGGCTTTCCTTCTTCTTCCTCTCTGCCGTGACCCTTCAGGACGTGGCAGGCCTATCATGGCTTTCCACTTCTTCTTCCTCTCTGCGTGACCCCATCAGGACGTGGGCTATCATGGCTTTCCACTTCTTCTTCCTCTCTGCCGTGACACCAGGACGTGGGCTATCTGATTTCAACCTTCTTCCTCTCCGTGACCCTTTAGGACGTGGGCTTCATGGCTTCTTCTTCCTCTCTACCGTGACCCTTCAGGAGGTGGTTGGGCTTTCACTTCTTCTTCCTCTCTCCTCTCTGCCGTGACCCTTCAGGCTATCATGGCTTTCCACTTCTTCTTCCCTCTCTACCCTTCAGGACGTAGGCTATCGCGCTTCCACTTCTTCTTCCTCTCTGCCGTGACCCTTCCAGGACGTGGGCTATCATGGCTTTCCACTTCTTCTTCCTCTCTGCCGTGACCCTTCAGGACATTGGGGCTATCATGGCTTTCCACTTCTTCTTCCTCTGCCGTGACCCTTCAGGAGGTGGGCTATCATGGCTTTCCCTTCTTCTTCCCTCTCTGCCGTGACCCTTCAGGGTGGGCTATCATGGCTTTCCACTTCTTCTTCCTCTCTGCCGTGACCCTTCAGGGTGGGCTATCATGGCTTTCCTTCTCCTCTCTCATGACCCTTCAGGACGTGGGCTATCATGGCTTTCCACTTCTTCTTCCTCTCTGCCGTGACCCTTCAGGACGTGGGCTATCATGGCTTTCCACTTCTTCTTCTTCTCTGCCGTGACCCTTCAGGACGTGGGCTATCATGGCTTCCTTCTTCTTCCTTCCTCTCTGCCGTGACCCTTCAGGACGTGGGCTATCATGGCTTCCACTTCTTCTTCCTCTCTGCCGTGACCCTTCAGGACGTGGGCTTCTTCTTCTTCTTCCTCTCTGCCGTGACCCTTCAGGACGTGGGCTATCGTGACCCTTCAGGACAGCCCAGGCTATTTCACTTCTTCTTCCTCTCTGCCGTGACCCTTCAGGAGGTGGGCTATCATGGCTTTCCACTTCTTCTTCCTCTCTGCCGTGACCCTTCAGGAGGTGGGCTATCATGGCTTTCCACTTCTTCTTCCTCTCTGCCGTGACCCTTCAGGAGGTGGGCTATCATGGCTTTCCACTTCTTCTTACTCTCTGCCGTGACCCTTCAGGTGTAAGGCTATCATGGCTTTCCACTTCTTCTTCTCTCTGCCGTGACCCTTCAGGTTCTGCCGTGGGGCTATGGGCTCCACTTCTTCTCCTCTCTGCCGTGACCCTTCCAGGAAGGTGGGCTATCATGGCTCACTTCTTCTTCCTCTCTGCCGTGACCCTTCAGGACGTGGGCTATCATGGCTTTCCTTTCTTCTTCTCTCTGCCTGACCCTTGCCAGGGCTATCATGGCTTTCACTTCTTCTTCTCTCTGCCGTGATCCTTCAGGAGGTGGGCTATCATGGCTTTCCACTTCTTCTTCCTCTCTGCCGTGACCCTTCAGGAGGTGGGCTATCATGGCTTTACTCTCTGCCGTGACCCTTCAGGACAGCCTTGGGCTATCAGGCTTTCCACTTCTTCTTCCCTCTCTGCCGTGACCCTTCAGCTATCATGGCTTTCAACTTCTTCTTCCTGGGCTGACCCTTCATGGCTATCATGGCTTTCCCTTCTTCTTCCTCTCTGCCGTGACCTTTCAGGACGTGGGCTATCATGGCTTTCCACTTCTTCTTCCTCTCTGCCGTGACCCTTCAGGACGTGGGGCTATCATGGCTTTCCACTTCTTCTTCCTCTCTGCCGTGACCCTTCAGGACGTGGGCTATCATGGCTTTCACTTCTTCTTCCTCTGCGTGACCCTTCAGGTGGGCTATCATGGCTTTCCCTTCTTCTTCCTCTCTGCCGTGACCCTTCAGGAGGTGGGCTATCATGGCTTTCCACTTCTTCTTTCTCTGCCGTGACCCCTTCCATTGGGCTATCTTGGCTTTCCACTTCTTCTTCCTCTGTGACCCTTCAGGAGGTGGGCTATCATGGCTTTCCACTTCTTCTTCTCTCTGCCGTGACCCTTCAGGACGTGGGCTATCATGGCTCCCTTCTTCTTCCTCTCTGCCGTGACCCTTCAGGGGCTATCTTGGCTTTCCACTTCTTCTTCCTCTGCCGTGACCCTTCAGGACGTGGGCTATCATGGCTTTCCACTTCTTCTTCCTCTGCCGTGACCCTTCAGGACGTGGGCTATCATGGCTTTCCCCTTCTTCTTCCTCTCTGCCGTGACCCTTCAGGAGGTGGGCTATCATGGCTTTCCACTTCTTCTTCCCTCTCTGCCGTGACCCTTCAGGAGGTGGGCTATCATGGCTTTCACTTCTTCTTCCTCTCTGCCGTGACCCTTCAGGACGTGGGCTATCATGGATTTCCACTTCTTCTTCCTCTCTGACCCCCCGTGCTTTCCACTTCTTCTTCCTCCAGGACGTGGGCTATCATGGCTTTTCCACTTCTTCTTCCTCTCTGCCGTGACCCTTCAGGACGTGGGCTATCATGGCTTTCCACTTCTTCCTCTCTGCCGTGACCCTTCAGGAGGTGGGCTATCATGGCTTTCCACTTCTTCTTCTTCCTCTCTGCCGTGACCCTTCAGGACGTGGGCTATCTGCTTTCCACTTCTTCTTCCTCTCTGCCGTGACCCTTCAGGAGGTGGGCTATCATGGCTTTCCACTTCTTCTTCCTCTCTGCCGTGACCCTTCAGGGTGGGCTATCATAGCTTTCCACTTCTTCTTCCTCTCTGCCGTGACCCTTCAGGACGTGGGCTATCATGGCTTTCCACTTCTTCTTCCTCTCTGCCGTGACCCTTCAGGACGTGGGCCATCATGGCTATCATGGCTTTCCACTTCTTCAGGACTCTCTGCCGTGACCCCTTCAGACGTGGGCTATCATGGCTTTCCACTTCTTCTTCCTCTCTGCCGTGACCCTTCAGGACGTGGGCTATCATGGCTTTCCACTTCTTCTTCCTCTCTGCCGTGACCCTTCAGGACGTGGGCTATCATGGCTTTCCACTTCTTCTTCCTCTCTGCCGTGACCCTTCAGGACGTGGGCTATCATGGCTTTCCACTTCTTCTTCCTCTCTGCCGTGACCCTTCAGGACGTGGGCTATCATGGCTTTCCCTTCTTCTTCCTCTCTGCCGTGTAGGCTATCATGGCTTTCCACTTCTTCTTCCTCTCTGCCGTGACCCTTCAGGACGCGGGCTATCATGGCTTTCCTTCTTCTTCCTCTGCCGTGACCCTTTAGGCTATCATGGCTTTCCACTTCTTCTTCCTCTCCGTGACCCTTCAGGTTGTGGGCTATCATGGCTTTCCACTTCTTCTTCCTCTCTGCCGTGACCCTTCAGGAGGTGGGCTATCATGGCTTTCACTTCTTCTTCCTCTCTGCCGTGACCCCTTCAGGACGTGGGCTCTCATGGCTTTCCACTTCTTCTTCCTCTCTGCCGTGACCCTTCAGGACGTGGGCTATCATGGCTTCCTTTGACCCTTCACATGGGCTTCTTCTTCCTCTCTGCCGTGACCCTTCAGGACGTGGGCTATCATGGCTTTCCACTTCTTCTTCCTCTCTGCCGTGACCCTTCAGGACTATGGGCTATCATGGCTTTCCACTTCTTCTTCCTCTCTGCCGTGACCCTTCAGGACGTGGGCTATCATGGCTTTCCACTTCTTCTTCTCTCTGCCGTGACCCTTCAGGACGTGGGCTATCATATTTCATTCTTCTTCCTCTCTGCTGACCCTTCCAGGACGTGGGCTATCATGGCTTTCCCTTCTTCTTCCCTCTCTGCCGTGACCCTTCAGGACGTGGGCTATCATGGCTTTCCACTTCTTCTTCCTCTCTGCCGTGACCCTTCAGGACGTGGGCTATCATGGCTTTCCTTCTTCTTCTCTGCCGTGACCCTTCAGGACGTGGGCTATCATGGCTTTCCACTTCTTCCTCTCTGCCGTGACCCTTCAGGACGTGGGCTATCATGGCTTTCCACTTCTTCTTCCTCTCTGCCGTGACCCTTCAGGAGGTGGGCTATCATGGCTTTCCACTTCTTCTTCCTCTCTGCCGTGACCCTTCAGGACGTGGGCTATCATGGCTTTCCACTTCTTCTTCCTCTCTGCCGTGACCCTTCAGGACGTGGGCTATCATGGCTTTCCACTTCTTCTTCCTCTCTGCCGTGACCCTTCAGCAGTTAAATACTTCTATCTACGTGCTTCTGGCGAAACTGCTAGAAGTGAGTCAAGTGAATTCCACAATAAATCTCCAACTGCAGGATATCTACAAACCGCCCCAAGCGGTCAGATATGTCACAAGGCCGGATTTAATGTGGGGTGTCCGAACCCGAACCCTCGGCCCAAAATCTTTCGTAGACCTCATATAAAACTGGGTCGGGTAGCTGTTTCCCGAGACGAGAGTCTGCTCTTCGACATAGCTTCGTCTGGGGACGCTCTCTGCCCGGAGGCAGAGAGTTTGACCAGCACAGCTGGAGACGAATCTCCAACTGCAGGATACTTACCAACCGTCTCATGCGGTCAGATGTGGCACAAGGCAGAATTTAATGTGGGGTATGCGAGCCCGTAGGCTCGGCCAAAAATTCCCCATTGACCCCGTATAAAACGGGGTCGGGTAACTGTTCCAAAAATGAGACTCTGCCCTACGACAAAGCCTTGCCTGAAGGCACAGAGTTTGACCAGTACAGCTGGAGATGAATCACCAACTGTAGACCAACATACAGTATTTACTACCGTATTTGTGTGAATGGGGACATACCCATTATCCTCCGTAGGTATGCTACAACAATTCCTTTCTTTGTTTTTTTTTTGTCAATACAGGATATATGAATACAAAATACACATTATTGAAATTCAGTTTCGAACTGTATATCTAGTCGCTACTTTTCAAAAAAGAGGACGCTGAGAACATCCGCACTGACCAACCCAAGTTGTGCAAATGGATGGCAGAGCGAGGACTGGGAAGGATAATAAAAAAAAAAAAAGCCATGACTACCCACATCTTGAAAGGACACAACACCTAAAAGAAGAAGAAGAAAAAGAATAAAGATGCTTCCAACCGAATCATGGACTTCATCAAACATCTTCACTCCTACTGCTGTGTTAGTAATTAAACAACATGCGATGTTAATTTTTTCTCTACACAGGATAAATGAACTCCGAAGACACATTACACCAAGCCCATTTATATTCAACTATCTAGGAAGTATTTTAAAAGAAGACGAAAATCCGAAGGCACATTGGAACAGGGAAAGTGCCTTCCATAAACTAAACAAAGTATTAAGAAACAATTTTTTTTTTCTTAGAAACAAAGAAAAGAGTGTTGAACTGCTATCCAATATCACAGACGAAGAGGAAACTTGTGTAGTTCTGCAGAAGGATGCGGAGAATACAGTAGTTTGGTTTGGTTTGGTTTGTTTTATGGCATATCAAATTCAGGGGGTTATTTAATGTCAACAATTTATATATAAATACATAGGGATAAAAAATGTACTCTTTGTAACAAAATCACTTTGTAAATCAAGTTTCATTAACGCTTTTGTAACATTTATTTCCTTCGAAAATATATTGCTAGTAATAATGTATTTCTGTTAATTTTTTTCTTCAAATATTTATTGCTGGTAATAATTCTTTTTACAAATTCTGGTATTAAAACCTATTTTTACATTTGCATAGTGTTTTAGTTTAGTTGTGAATTTTTGTCCATGACTGGGACTCTAACAGGTGCTCTCACCCCGGATCAGGGTGGTCCTAGGAACACCAGCAATTAAGAGGTGGTTCCACACTGCTCAAAATCTCCTGATCAGAGGCCTTGTTGTCGGATGTAGTTTATCGTCTTACCCAGCACGTGGATGTAGTTTATCGTCTTACCCAGCACGCGGATGTAGTTTATCGTCATACCCAGGATGGGAATACAATAGACGGAGTATATAGGCAACGAAGAACTCTAAAGGAAAATGGAAACAAAAAGGACACTTAAAATCAGAACGAGACAGAAATTTTGTTCTACAGGAGGATGCTGAGATTACCATAGACGGAGCATGTAAATAACGAGCAAATCTTAAGCGAAATTGAAACAAAAAGGACATTTAGAGTAAAAATCAGATGAAGCCAGTTGGAATTCTTGGACACATAATGAGAAAAGAGGGATTGGAGAATCTGACACTCACAGGGCATACTGAAGGCAAGAGAAACAGAAAGTAATCTACTTAACAAAATTGTGTCTATGTATGACTGGAAAAAGACTGGGGGGATACTAAGAAGGTAAGCATTATTTAGAGCGACAAAGGATAGGAAGTTGTGGCGATCCATGAACACCCACGTCCTGAAGAAGGAGAATACTTCCAACCGAATCATCTCCATGGGGTTCATCAATCCTCATCTGCCACCAAACTTGAAAAGAAAAACATGCAAGTTTTTTTCTTAAGTTTTTACAACACATGGTGTATTAACTTATCCCCTCAAGCCTTTCACAGCAGTTACTGCTTCCAACCGAACCATCTCCGTGGGCTTCATCAATCATCTTCACTTCTGCTGCTGTCTCCGTAACGATACAAATTGCATTGCCTCACGTGTACCTTGTCTGCAACTATATTTCTTTCGGTCTATATAAATACCGA